TCTTTGCCTTTTAGGCAATTACAAACAAACAAACAAACAGACAAACAAACAAACAAACAAACAGACAAACAAACAAACAGACAAATAGACAAACAAGGTTAATGTTTAGGACATTATCTCTTAATTTATTTATTTATTTATTTTTTTTTGCAGAAAAATATACATGAGATTTGATCGCAAATCAAACCTACAAAAAGGAATAAATTATATTCTTACTTTATTTCAGCTTCATTTCGGTCCTGAAGATTTGACCAAAGGTAGACCAAGTTTTCGTATTTAGGCATGAGACACCGCACCATCCCCACCACCAACCCACATTTGAAGCACAATGACATGATGGGCATGCATCGTTATCCTTATCAGGTGTGCTAAACCTCCTGTTGTTGGCGACATAATTTGGATGTGAAGGGGCTGTGAGGGGATTTCCAGCAGTACCGGAGTATCCGCTCGCACTCAGGCGATAAAAATCAGTCTCGTCGGATATAGAGAACGAAGAATACACAGCATATCCCTTGTTCCCTGTTGGAGCCTCCAGATCAATGCGCAGTTTTGTAACTTGTCTTTTGGTCAGTCGGTAGACTTTCTCAAGGCCCAACCAAAACTCACCATTCAGGTTACCAAAACCGGTTTTGTAGTCTTGCCACCCACGGGTAAAGCTCACCAAATTGTTGTCGAGTCTTTGAAACACAGTCCACCCTCCGCCATCTGTTGTCATGTCGCAGTAGGCTGGGAAGGAGCCTTTTCCATCAGGATCGATTTGATAGACTCCATCTGCAGTGTAACCAGCTGAACGTAGCTCTGAGCAATCACTGTAAACTAAATCAGACGTAAAATAGTTAGTGAATAACATATTTTTTACAGCCATGTATATATATAATGCATTGGCCAATTCAACACAAACGCAGGGGTCAGCAACATACGCACGACAAACAAGAAGTTGCAGCCTTTATTTATATCTAAGGCGGGATACGGAGTACGTTTGTAGATTTGCAAATAATAGATAATTTCCAAAAATCTCTTGATCATGAAATTTTTGGAAATTATCGCCCTATCTCTAATTTAAAGAATATCTCCAAGATTATTGGAAAAGTCGTTTCCCTTCAGCTAAATGATTATCTGTCTCTGAACAATCTCCATGAACCATTGCAGTCTGCATACAAA